CCTGAGCTAACATCTGTTGCCAATCTCTTTCTTTTTCTTTTTCCTCCCCAAAGCCCCAGTACATAAGTGTATATCCTAGTTGTAGGTCCTTCTATTTCTTCTATGTGGGATGCTGCCTCAGCATGGTTTGATGAGCTGTGAGTAGGTCTGCACCCAGGATCTGAATTGGATCCGCTACACCATGGGGCTGGCCCCCACCACGCGGCGGACCACTTAAGTATTTTATTCTTTTTGATGCTATTGTAAATGGAATTATTTTCCTAATTTCATCTTTGGATTATTAATTGCAGGTGTACAGAAATACAATTTTTTTTGTATATTCATCTTGTATCCTGCTACCTTGTTGAACTCATTTATTAGCCCTAATTATGTTCCTATGGATTCCTTAGCAGTTTCTATATACCACATCATAACACTGGCAAATACATATAGTTTTGTTCTTCCTTTCCAATCTGCATGCCTTTTATTTCATTTTCTTGCCTAACTGCCCCAGCTACTAATGCTGCATAGAGGTGTTAAGAGTGGTTATCCTCTTGTTCCTGATTATGTGGGAAAATCTTTTAGTCTCTCACCGTTGAGTACATTAGCTGCATTTTGTAGATGGCATTTACCAGGTTGCAGAAGTTTCTTTCTACTCCTATTTTGTTGAGAGTTTTTATCTTGAAAGGGTATTGGATTTATCTAATGCTTTCTCTGCATTGTTGGGATGATCATGTAGTTTTTGTCCTTTATTCTAGAGACAAGATGTATTTCAATAAAGGAAAATCAATTAATGTATCAACCTTGCATGGCTCGGATAAATCTCATTTGGTCATGATGTATAATCCTTTTTTTTTTTTTTGTGAGGAGGATTAGCCCTCAGCTAACATCTGATGCCAATCCTTCTCTTTTTGCCAAGGAAGACTGGCCCTGGGCTAACATCCGCGCCCATCTTCCTCCACTTTATAGGGGACGCTGCTACATCATGGCTTGACAAGTGGTATGTCGGTGCATGCCCGGGATCCAAACCTGCGAACCCCGGGCTGCCATCGCAGGGTGCAAGCACTTAACTGCTATGCCACAGGGGCAGCCCCTGTATAATCCTTTTTATATGTTGCTGCACTTGGTTTCCTAGTTTTGCTGAACTTTTTGCATATAGAGATATTGTTCCATAGATTTCTTTTCTTGTATTTGTCTGGTCATGGTTATCATTGTAATACTGGCCTCAAGGGATGAGTTGGGAAGTGTTCCTCCATCTACTATTTTTGCAAGAGTTTGTGAATGATTGGTGTTCATTCTTATTCCAATGTTTGGTAGAATTCAGTAGGGACGTTATCTAGGTCTGGCCTTTGTCTTGCAGGAAGTTTTTGGCTTACTGTTCCAATATCTTTACTTGTTTTATATAGTTATTCAGATTTTCCATTTACTCTGGTTTCACATGTGGTATTTTGTGTACTACTTGGAATCTGTCCACTTCATCTAGGTTATCCAATTTGTTGGCATTCAATTATCCATAAATTTCCCTTATACTTCTTTTTAATTTCTATAAGGTCAGGAGAAATGTCTCCTCATTCATTCCTGATTTTAGTAATTTGAGTTTTCTCTCTTTTTTTCTTCACCTATCTAAAGGTTTATCAACTTTCTTTTTTTTTTTTAAGATTTTATTTATTTATTTATTTCCCCCCCAAAGCCCCAGTAGATAGTTGTCTGTCATAGCTGCACATCCTTCTAGTTGCTGTATGTGGGACGCGGCCTCAGCATGGCCGGAGAAGCGGTGCGTTGGTGCACGCCCAGGATCCAAACCCGGGCCGCCAGCAGCGGAGCCCACGCACTTAACCGCTAAGGCATGGGGCAGGCCCTATCAACTTTCTTTAACTCTTCAAATAACAAACTTTTGGTTTGTTGATGTTCTCTATTAATTTTTTATTCTTTATTTCATTTATCTCTATTCTAATCTTATTATTTCCTTCCTTTTGCTTGGTTTGGATTTGTTTTGTTCTTCTTTTTCCTGATTCTTAAAGCAGAAGGTAGTTGATTGAAGACCTTTCTTTTTTAACATAGGGGTTCAGAAGGTAGTTGACTGAAGATCTTTCTTTTTTAACATAGGGGTTCAGAAGGTAGTTGACTGAAGATCTTTCTTTTTTAACATAGGGGTTTACAGCTAGAAATCTGCTTCCTAGCACTGCTTTAGTGACATCGCATAAACTTTCCTATGTTGCCTTTTACTATTCATCCATCACAAAGTATTTTCTAATTTTATTTCTCGCTTCTCCTATTACCAGATTATTTAAGGGTGTGTTGTTTCATTTCCACATATTAAATTTTCCAAATTTCTTTCTCTTATTAATTTTTCATTTCAGGCTATTTTGGTCAGAGACTATATTTTGTATGATTCAGTCCTTTTAAATTCACTGAAACTTGTCTTATAGCCTAATATATGCTCAATCCTGAAGAATGTTACATATCTACTTAAGAATAATAGACATCCTGTTGTTTTTTAGACAGAGTATCCCACAGAACTGAGTTTGGTCTAGTAAGTTTATAATTTTGTTAAAATCTTCCACTGTCTTCATGATTTTCTGTCTACTTGTACTATCTATTATTGAAAGTGAGATGCTGTAGTCTCCAACAATGATAGTTGAATGTTCTATTTTTTCCTTCATCCTGTTGAGTTTTTGCTTCATATATTGTAGAACACTTTCATTGGGTGATATATATTCATTAGTGTTATACCATACTGATGGATTGACACTTTTATTATTATAAAACATCTTTCTTTGCTTCTACTAACAATTTTTGTCTTAAGTTTACTTTTTCTGATATTAGTAGAACCATTCCAGCTCTTTTGATTATACTTTGCATACTCTTATCTTTTTCCATCATTTATTTTAATCTATTTCTGTTTTTGACTATAAAATGTGTTTCTTACAGTTAGAACACGTTTTTTATTTTTAATCCATTCTGCCAACGTTGGTCTTTTAAATGGAGTGTGTACTCAGTTTACATTTATTGTAATTACTAATAGAATTTATGCCAGAAATTTTGTTACTTATTTTCTGTATGTTTTAGGCCTTTTCCCTCCATATTTCTAAATTACTGCCTTCTTTGGTGTTAAATAGATATGTTCTAGGGTATCATTTGATTTACCTTATTGCTTCTTTTTTTATATAATTTTTTAAGTTATTTTCTTAATGTTTTCTGGGGAATTATGATTAACATCTTAATGTATAACCATCTAAAGCAGATTAATACAAACTTAATTACAATAGTATAAAAAACTATGCCCCTGAATAGCTCCATCCTTTCTCCAAGCCATGATAATTTAATTCTTAAGAAAAGTAACAGAAGAGGGAGCTCAAAACAAATTTAGACAAGGTATCCAGAACTATGACTCCATTCTCAAAATTGAGGAAAACTAACCTCAAATATAATGACTAAAAAAAAGACCCAAAGTCAAGTTAGATACAAGAAATGAAATTACTGAAGTTAATGACAGGTATAGAGCCAATATAAATACATCTAAAACAAATGCCTGGAAAACAGGGAAAAACTACCATACTATTCAAAAACATGCTAAAAGGCAAGAAAATACCTTGAGATATAAAAGATCATAAATGTGAAGTAGAAGAACTCAGAATTAGGTAATACAGTACACAAATAAATGAAAAATAAAGAATACCAACCTAGGGCCAGCCCCGTGGCTTACCGGTTAAGCGTGCACACTCCGCTACCGGCAGCCCGGGTTCGGATCCCAGGCGTACACCGACACACCGCTTCTCTGGCCATGCTGAGGCCTTGTCCCACATACAGCAACTAGAAGGATGTGCAACTATGACATACAACTATCTGCTGGGACTTTGGGGAAAAAAAGGAGGAAGATTGGTAATAGATGTTAGCTCAGAGCCGGTCTTCCTCAGCAAAAAGAGGAGGATTAGCATGGATGTTAGCTGAGGGCTGATCTTCCTCACAAAAAAAAAAGAATACCAACCTAGAAAGAAATATGAGAATAAATCCCACAGCAAAATTTTAACACAAAAAAGAATAAAGAAATATATGGATACAAAAATGACTAACAAAAATATGTAGTTGTTTTATCAAGGTTTCTGTATAAGTCTTATAATTAATGAAAAAGTAAAAATGTTTTTTAAAAAACCAAATAAAAAACCTTCAATTAGATTAGGGATCCTAATTACTCTTAGAAACCAATTCTAATTCTTCAGAATGAACCACAAAATCTTATAAGATCTGACACTTCCTAACGTACAAGCTTCACACCCTGTTAGTCACCACTCACTAACTCTGATTTACATGCCACTCCTCAAACACACAAACCTCATATCCCCTTGAAGATCTTTGTACGTGTGATTCACTCTCCGTGGAATGTTCTCATTCATATACTCAAAAAGCCTGAGCCCTCACTTCATGTCTCTGCACAAATGTTACCTTCTCAGAAAAGGGTTCCTGACCACACTACCTTACCTAAATTTGCTGTGTTCTTGGTTAGTGTCCTTCATAATACATTTCACTACCTGATATTCTTTATCTATTTATTTGTTTGCACGTTTATCACTGCCTTAACATAGTATAACCCCCACTACTGCAGAAACATCATCTGCCTTATATAGTATTACTGGATTGACTGTGCCAAGCACAGTGCTAGGCTCTCAGTATTCAAATATTTGCCAGATATAGGAATTAATGTATCTTCAGACAACGGAGTCACAGTGAAAAAGATGATCTGGAAAGAATTTGGGTCCACAATATGTACAGGTAAAATGGCTACACTGTGGAAAAAGGAGAACGCACTAAATTGAGAGGGAAATATGAGAAAAATAACATGATGAATGGTTAATGAGGTTAAGATGAAGTTCACTGGGTATGTCATACTGAGATATTTCCTTTCCCCATTTGAGAAGGGAGCTTTCTAACCAATGTTTGAAGGATGTGTTTATCAAGTGTGTTCACCACTTGGGTTATCACTTACAGAGATGACTTCTCCTGCCTGACTTGCTCTTCCTTACCTGGACACCATCTTCTAGTTTCTTCCCTTACAACCATCCAGGGCTCCTTTCCTTGCTCCAATAAGGTAATTACATCTGGCTTAGAAATGGAATGGCCTGCTCACAAAGAAAAAAATGCCAGAGGATAGAGAAACAAATTGTCACTAGTCAAGATTAAAATTATAATTATAATAATCAAAAGATCATAATAATAGTGAATATTTGAGAGAAAAATTAGAGAAGTAAAGAACAAGAGATCTGTTAGGTAAGGTAAAGTTTTTGGTTTACTGTGTATTTAAAATTTAAACTCCTATGTCCTCTAACTCTAGAGGGCAAGCATGTTATTGAAAACACACTCTGGAGCCTGGGATCAATTCTTGTCTTTGCCACCTTCCAGCCGGGGATGACTCTCGGCAATTCACTTAAACCCAAAATACCTCAGTATTCTCACTTATAAAAAGGGGATAATAATAGCATTGTTGGGGATTAAATAAGTTAAGACTCCCAGTTACTTTAATCAGTTAAATCAGATAATGTGCTTGGAGTACTGACTACTACACAGTAATCACAATGTTGGCTATTAACATTATTATTGTTATGCTCTTACGTTACTAGAGTACATAAGAAGAGACAACTATGAGATATTCATTCCATTTTAAATGTAATTTTCATGGATTACAACTTGCAACCACAAACCAGAGGAACTTTGTCTTAGGAAACAGATTGCTTTCGGTACAGTTTTAAATGAATTCCAAATATCCAATCCACCACCACATAAACTGAAGAGGCTCTTCTGATAATGAGAGCAACTGAGGACCCTCTGTCAAGCGGATATCTCTAAAACTGGACCAGACAATAAAATGGAGTATGACAGCAATTTGAAGGACAAATAAAAAAGAACCTTGGATCCTTTGACAAGGGTTTTACAATACATGCCACAGATTTCTAATGTAGGTGCTTGGTCATTATGCAAGAGAAGCAAAGAAAAAAGAACAGAGGGAGGTAAAAATGTTACTGAGGGGTAGGGAGGACGAAGGTGTTTAATGGAGTTGCCATTTCTAACCCTGACAAAACTCAAACTTCTTTTTGGGGAAGCGGGAAAACAAATTTAACTAGTTCCTTGAAAGGCAGAGCTGAAAATTGCAGTGGAAAAAATACATAGCCTATAGAGCAGATTTTAAATTAATCTAAATTATTTGAGGCCCATAAACATACCCAGTGAGACCAAGTTTCTATAGTTTTCCATCATCACATCCCGGTATAAAGTCTTCTGAACAGGGTCCAGACATTCCCACTCCTGCTGAGAGAAGTCTATGGCCACATCACTGAACGTCAATAATCCCTGGAACAGTAAATATACATATTACTGGGGAAATTAAAGAAAATATGTTGAAAGTGGGAGCAGATGAGACAAAGGACTTCTGTGCAGGAAAAGAGCACTATGGGAAGCATACAGGCTGGAAATCTACGATATAGAAGGAGACTGAAGCAGAATGTAGACATATTTTTAAAGAAGCCTGCTGACACAGAGAAAACGTCCTCCATACTCTGGGATACTTCTAAATATCGAAACCTTTCTGAAATGGACAAAATAAGAAAGTTTCACTACTAAATAAAAAAGTGTATACGAGAATAAAGTACAAATAGTATCTGCCTCATAAATTCTCAACAAATGTGAGCTATTGAGGAATATTTTTCTTTTAAGGGAAGAGAAATACTAAATCATGGGATGTTTTCTCCAAGTTTTAGAAAACTGCATAAAATTAAGACTTTCTTCAAGCATCAACTACTTCATTATGTCAAATTTTACCATAAGCAGTTTTACTTGTTTCAATAAATCCATATATTTTCTGGCACATGTCATTATATTTTACGGATATATCATATTTAATAATTTATACAGTTAGGCTGCACAATTTGGAAAGTCTTCCCCAATTCCAAGATTCAGTTTTCACCTATTACATATGATATTCATTTCTGTTGCCATTTACCATTTCTTACTAAACACTTTCCTTATTTTGAGTGTGGTAGGTAACTTCATTGAGTAACAATGATCTCCACCTCCTGGTATTTATGTCTTCACGTACTGCCCTCACGTTCAATGTGGGCTGAACCTAGTGAGAGTAATTTGTTTCTAACAAATAGAATACAGTAGATGTGATGGAACGTCCCTTCTGACATTAGGTTATAAAAGACTATGATTTGCACATTGCTCATCCCTTCTTGCTGTCTCACTTGCTCACTCTGATGAAGCCAGCTACCATGCTGTGAGCCGCCCTATGGAGAGGCCCACATAACAATAAACCAAGGGCAGTCTCCAGCCAACACCTACTGAGGAAGTGAGACCCTCAGTCCCATAGCCCATGAAGAACTGGATCCTGTCAATAACCACTGAGTGAGCTTGGAAGCAGATCCACCCAAAGTTGAGCTTTAAGATGACTGCAACCCTGACCAACATGTTGA